GGAAGACCCGACGCCTCGATCGCTCCTGTGCTGCAGCAGATCGGCGCACACAGGCAGATGCGGGAAACCGCCGCAAGACGCTAATGCTTGGCCTTGGTGGTACTGACGCGCATGCGCAGCCGACGGATGCTCTCCGGCTCCTCCCACCAGGCAGAGGGGTGTCTGCCCAGGGCCAGGACGGGGACGGGGGGAGAGCGCGGGAGAATGGGCAGGGCCCGAAAAGGCGCCGCCCCAGCCGGACATTGAACTCAAGACCTCGTCCGAGGGGCGGGGATTTGCAACTGGCGCTCGTGTGACTTGGTCGCGTGATGTCGCGCGCTCCGCGGCCCCGATCGCGATCTCGGGTCCCGAGCGGACGCCTGGCCGGCATTGTCGCGACAATGGTGCCCCTCCCCCCCCCCCTCCCCCTCTTGCGCGCACACATACACACGCGCGCGCGCCCTCCGAGCTGGGAAAAAGAGCCGCAGCAAGACCGAGGGAACACACACTGGGCTCACACAACAAGGGCGGCCCCGGAGGGGCGAGGCGGATGTCCGGGCCGCACAGTGCGAGATCCGAGGGCGCCGTATTTCACCAGGGGGTGCGCCCGGTCCCCTGGCCGAGGGCCTGCGTCACTGCTCCTCGGCTGCCCGGACATCCTTGCCTCGGCCCTGCCTTTTTCTTTCCCCCCCCCCCTCCCCCTCTTCCCCTGGCTTTTCATCCCCCTGCCGGCCCTCCTGCGCCGCGGTGCAAGGACATGCGGCTGCCGGGTGCGGCGGCCACACGGTGGACGGTGCGGCCATGGGCCCTCGTCCGTCCAGCCCATGGTCGTCGGCGGCTCTCGGGGCTGCTCTCCTGCCTGGGGGTGTACTACTTGTGCATGCTGCTGGCCGTGAGGCTGCTGCTGGTCATCCTCCCTCGCGGCGGGTCCCCCAGCCCGGAGCGGCTCCACACCATGGGCCAGGGGGAAGCCGCCCTGCTGGCCGCTCCTGCGGCCCGACCCCCGGCAGGGCCCCCGTCGGTGGATATCCACTCGGCCGTGTATGTGGAGATGGCTTTCTACTTTTGGATGCGCGATCAGGTATTCTTCGTCCTGGCCTGGTCGCTGTGTGTCCTGCTGGCGTGGCATCTGTCACAGCCTCTCCTGGATGTGGCACTCTTCACGGATCCCCACTCCCCGAGGGTCCTTCGTCGTGCCCTCCTGGCCCTGCTGGCCTGGGACGAGACCACCATCAACCTGTCGGGTCTCTATGCTTGGGCCGTGGCCCCTCGCATGAAGATGGCCCTGGCATCGCCACCTCCCAACTTGGCAGACCGACTGGCGCCGATGCCTGCCCTCCCGGAAGCATCGATGCCCGCCGTCCTGGAGGCCTCACTGTCGCCGCCGGGGTCTCGACCACCTCGGCGCCTGGCCCGACAGCACCGGACCTCGCGCGGCCGAGGCCGCACTCCTCGGCGCCCCCGACGCCAGCAGCCCCTGCAGCCGCGTCCGGTACCAACTCCCCCCCGTGGCCTTCACCAACGCCTGGCCACACTGCGTCTGGCTGGAGTGGCTCTTTCGCAGCAGGTCCGATGGATTTTCCGCTTCCTACCAGCAAGCCCCCTCGCCACGCGCCTATCGCAGGTGGTCCGCCATGTAGGGAGCATGCTCACGTCCAACCCTCGGGGACCTCCCCCGCCGGACCTTTCCGCCGGCCTGGTCCCCCTGGCATCCCTGTCCTCAGCCATGCTGGCTGGCTTCGAGTCGAACCTCGAATCGGCCACCCTTTCGTCGGCCGATCTCTCGCGCCTTGGGCTGGCCATCCACGCGCAAGGGAAGCAACAGCGGCAGCAGCAGCAGCAGCAACAACAGCAACAGCGCCCTCGGCATCCCCCCCACCAGGCACCAAGCCTGCAAACGCGCCTGCGTGCGCGTCTGCTTGCGGGCCTCCGCTCGGCCAAGATCACATCCCATGCGGCGGCTGCCGCCCTGGCCAGGTCGCTGGTCGCCGGTCCAGGCCCTGGCAGCAGTCCGACTGCCTCGCGAGCTCGGCCACGCCCGAATACCCTGGCCAATCCGGTGGCCTCCTCACAGCCAACGGCTCGGTGGCCAGCCGCACCGAGCACGCCCGACGTCCACCTGGCTCCGGCATTCGCCTCACTGGCTGTCCCTCCTCTGGACATGTGGTCCCCCTTGTCCAGTCCCCTGCTGGCCAACCTGCGGCAGCTTCGCTCGGCCGTGCCGAAGCAGCTGCTCCCCCGCTTTCAGGTGCCGGGTCCCATGCCCGCGGTGCCGGTCGGCCGGTCGCCCACACTCCGGGCCCGGGCCATTGCCTCGTTTCAGCTGGATCCCGGGGACATGAAGCGGCCCTCTCCGCCATCCACCCCGGCGCGCGGGCCGCTTCCAGACTCGCCATCTCTGGCGCGAGCGCCGGGCAACATGCCCACCCCGGGCTCCACCCCGGACCTGGGCCCTCCACTTGGGCGTGTGCTCTTCTCGCCGGTGTCAAGCGGCCTGATGCCCAGGCCCCGGGGCGAGGGGACCCCGCGAATCAAGCGCCCGGCCGAGGAATCAGCCTCTCCAGGCACCCCGGGCCAAGCCCCACGCCGAGGGCTCCTCCCAGCCACGCCACAATCGATGAGTTTGCTGGACACCGCGGACTTTGCCACGCCGACCGGCTTGCTGGTGCCCTTCTCCCCGCCGGTCCTGCCGCGCATTGTTTCCTTCTCCCTGCCGGACGCGGCGTCGGCCACAAGTGGTCGCGACCACTTGTGGCTCCTTCCCGGCGAAGAGTGGCCAGCGTGCGGGACCTCAGTCGAGTGTTCCTCGACGACCGGGACTCGTGCGGTCCCTTCGCCGGGTCAGTCGGCTCGGACTCCGAGTGTCTCCGCCCCCGCCGGGCCCCCGGGCTTGTGCTCGGCCCTGTCGCCTGCCTGGGTCCCGGCTGAGCCGCACAAACGCCTCCGGCTCCAGGCCATCCCGACCTCCTCCCTGGGCCGGGACCCGCCCCCTGCGCCAGCCCGGGCCACCTCCACCGGGATCCGGCCCCCGGGGTGTGCCCCTGGCAGGGCCGCCGACCGGGTGCTTTACACATTCCTCCTCCGGCGTAATGCCCTTGCCGCGCGGAAGCCCCCGCCAGCTCCATTCACGCGCGCCTCCCTGGCCATGGCTCGGTCGCAGCCCTCGCTCGAAAGCCGCCTCCTGGTGGGCGCCCTGGCCGGGGGGGTTCTCAGCACCCTGCTGCTGTCTCTCCTGGCCCCGGTGGCCCTGCTGCTCTTGCGCTCGGAGATGGGCCCACCGGCCCCGGTCGGGTCGAGCTCGAGCGGCTTGGACTTTGGTGCGGCCCTCCTGCGGCCGGAGCCCGGCCTGCTTGGGCCGGTGCTGAGCATCGACGCCCTGCGAGCCGTTTGGTCTCGGGCACTGGTGCTGAACTTGATCTGTGCCGTGGTGGCTCTGCCGCTGCTATGCTTCCTGGCCGAGGGGCATCTGCACAAGCGCCGACATTTTGCCGGCCACCTGCCCCCCCTGGGCGGCCCTGAGCGCGGCCTGGGCTTCACCTCCTCCGTCTCCTACTATCTCACGGTGGCTCGGTCCAGCGCGCAGGCCGCCTGGCGTCGAGAGCGTCTCCACCACCTGCTGGATGCCTTTGCCTCGCAAGCTCTTGTACATGACACCCCTCCGTCTGTCTCTGCCCTCTGCGTGTATCTTTCTCTCTCTCTCTCTCTCCCGCTGCCTCCCCCTGCCTCGTACTTGCCTCCGGGCCTGGGAAGTTGCCTGACCGACGCATTGCCCCCCCCCCCCC